AGGAGCCGCCCTCCCCCCCACCCCCCCCAGATGAGCTGCAGCTTTGTCCCATGCCCTACCTCACCCTGGCTGGGCATCCTCTGCCCCTGCCCCACTCCCTTCCTCCCTCACCACAAGGGGGGCATTGTTCTGCCCTCCCATGCTCCTTCCCTCCCCGAACAACAGATTTGCCAGCTACACGCAGCTCTCTGCCCTGCTGGGCAGTGCTCCTCACTGCCTGTATGCTGCGCTGTTGCTGAGCACACATACAGGCATTTATCAGCTAAATTAATGGCTGCATTGGGCCTATTTCTAATACAGCCAATTTTCTTTACACCGGTGCCGATCCAATATTGGACTGATGTATCACTCCACCTCTTGTTGTATTGCTTACCTTCTCACTCTCCCTCCCACACAGTGCTGAGTTCCATTCCCAACCTCATGACTAAAAGAAGGGTAGATGGCCTCTCATAGTGTTTAGGTGCCAACAACCACCCACCAAACCTTCAGAGACTATTCATATATAAAGGGTGATGTGTGTTTAAACGTAAGCTTATAAATAGAAATTAATGACAGTATGTGTTAAGTGTTCAGTGGTGTGCCAGGAAATAAAATACTGATGTATCACTTTCCATTATACCTTACAAGTGTATGTACTAGTTTTGAATATTATATAGAACAGACACACTCTCCTGAGCACAACATTTAGTAACCTTGTTAAAACAGAAATCTTTCCTGCTCACAAGTAACCATGTATGTTAATCCTTCTATGAAATACTTCTATGTTCTCCATGTAGGTATAACAGATCTAGCTCTAGCTTTTTCTTCATTTTTTAAAAAACAGTTTCAGAATCTAAATTTGATTACCAAGGGGTCAGGATACAGAATCCTGATATAATCATTCTATTTAAATAACTCTAAAGATCTGAAAGTTGAAAAAAATGTGTAAAAGTTCTGTATCTAAAACACAGGAGCCCATGGGTCTAGTTAGAAAACTGACATTTCATAAATGTAATATGTATAATTTATGTAATATGTATAATTATGCCCAATGATCAATGGGGCTAATAATACTCATCAGGCCTGGAGAGTGGATTAATTATATCATGTTTTTGAAAAGCACTGAGCATGAAAGTACTAGAAAAATACTAAGTATCATTAATAGTTCTGAGATATTAGTTCTGTGCATATAGAAGAAGATTTTGTTCTTTCCACAGAAAGAGCTGGCAATTCAAGAGCCTTGAATATATGGCTTCCAAATATTATTCTGGTATTTCAGTGATGTGCTTGCTCATCTGCCCATGCTTTATATATTAAAGAAATAAGGCAGGGACAGAGCAAGTACACCATTGTAAAGGGGGGTGGGGTGGACTTTCTGCTTGTTAGTGTGTGGCAACTGCAACTGTTTCATCTGTCTGCACACCTGGTCACTAACTATTTTTGACACACACAATGGTATTTGAATGCCATATATTTTATCACTTTCTGTTCATCCAAACACAGCAATAAATCTAGAGCTACCAGATTTGCATCATGAAAAAAGTCTAACGGGTCTCTCACCAGATGTCGAAGCTCTTTCAGGTCCCTGCAGACTGTGTAGAAGACACCAAGGAGAATGTTAATGTAGGCAGCATAGAAATCAGCAGAATACTCTGGAGGATGATCATGAGACAGAATCTTTTGCAGGTGTCCTGTTCAGAGATAAATAGGTTTGATTTATTTTTTTAAAGCTGCTGGTTGCCTTGCTAGGATCGTATTTTATAAATGCAGTGCAACACAAGCCAAGCTGTGCTAATCAGCTGTACCACTGAAACCTAGCCACAACAAGAATAACAGCACACCAAAGGGCCAAGATGAGAAACAAAAAACACTGCAGTTCCTTCAACACCAACCTTATTCTCCCAAGAACATCCACAAATACCCACATTAACTATGTTAGCAATTAATTTCAAGAAAAGGCTTAAGGACAAGAAACACTGTACTGCCAAAATGCAAAGGCTCTAAAGACACTAAACCATAGATGGACCTTGACAAACATGCAGATTTGTAAAGATGCTCTTGTAATTCCATCAGGCATTGCTGTCCTACAGCCACATGCATCTGACTACAAAAGATCTAAAGAAAATCTTCAAAATTAGAGATAAGTAAAGTGAGACTTCTAGTCATACAGAAGTTGAGGGACACTGGGTGTTAAAGCTTAAAGTAATGTAGACCATGTTCACATGGCACAATTCTAGAGGTCCATTGATACACTGGTCCAATATTGGATTGGCAGCTATATAAAAAAAAATTTAATACATCAGAAATTGGCCATATCAGGCCAATAATTTGGCTGATAAATGGTCCGTGCACACAGGCAGCCGCAGCACAGCACAGGTGGCGAGGAGCACAGTCCGGCAGCGTAGGGAGCTGACTCCAGCTGGTAAGTCTGGTATGGTGGGAAGGGGAAGGGAAGGGGCTTGGGAGGCGCAGATCAAGGCCCCCGCAGGGAAGGATGCACGGGGCTGGGGCAGGGCAGGATGCAGCGGCGGCTCATCCAGGGGGCACAGGAAGGGGGAGAGGGAGTGGCTCCTGCCGCCACGCACTGCTCGGCTGGGAGCTCCTGGTCCAGCGACTCGTCTGGCAGCTCCCTCCACTCGTCCAGGAGGGCAGGGGGGCATGTGCCCCTGGATCTGCGTGGGGTGAGCTGGGGCCAGGGCTGCACTAAGCTCTTCCTGGCAAGGCAGGGCTGCACTGGGAAGGGGCTATGGCAAATTTGTGGCTGCAGTGCCCTCCCCTCCCCTGTAGCCCATTCCAAGCACAGCCCTGCCCTGCCCTGCCGGGAAGAGCTTGGGGCAGCCCCGAACCCAGTCTGCCCTGCGCAGATCCGGGGGCACACGCCCCGCCCCCTGCCCTCCCAGACGAGCGGCAGGAGCTGCCGGACAAGCACATGAGCGCTGGATGAGCCGCCAAACTAGCAGCTCCCGGCCAAGTGGCACGTGGCAGTAGGAGCTGCTTTCCCCTCCTCCGTACACAAGCTGCTGCTCCATCCTGTGCCAGCCCTGTCCCAGCCAGGCAGCTCCTGCCCCAGCCCCATGCCTCCCTCCCTGGGGGGGCTTGATCCCCTCATTCCCCTTCCTTTCCCCCTC